GGTGGTGGTGGTGGTGGTGGTGGTGGTGGTGGTGGTGGTGGTGGTGCTGGTGGTGGTGGTGGTGGTGCGAGGCTGCGACGACCCGGTGTTTAACGTGGAGCAATACGATTCACTACAAAGTGAACCTCAAGAACAAAGTCTCCGTATTCCATGATTTCCTAAAAGAGAGGTCCACACCTATCAGCTAACCCACCTGAACTTGAACAGATCTCTTTATTACTTGAAAGTAAATATTGCCACAAGATACTTTCGACTGCGTGGAAGTACCTGCGCAACTAGATATGCAGGCTATGCCTAGAATACTTTGCAAATTATTACCACCAATCAAGTAATACCCGCTAAGATGAAGCAGACCAGAGGACGAGGCACAACCGTATACTAGACTGCTAAACAAAGTTGTATTGATTGATACAGTTGGCTGGATTATTAAAAATACAGATGTTTGAATAGTAACATGGATAGAACGGGTGGTGGTGAATGTGGTTGTGATGGAGTAATTACCGTGTGAAACCTCCTAGAGGAGACTTGTTCATTTCTATCGAGGGAAGGGTTATAGCGGCAATCGTTTCTTTAGCAGTTGACAAAAGTGAAAGTAATTTTAGCCGGTGAGAGAGAGAAAGGGAGCTAGAGTGGAGGCGACAAGAGCACAATGTAGAACCATTGGCAACCGTGGCAGGTGAGATGAACCTGAACCACCAATCGAAGAAGGGCTCTTCCTTGGTAAATGTAATACCTACGAATGCGCCTAGTGAACTGGAAAACAAACGTCTGAACAAAACGGTGGTTGCTGACTTTCAAATGAATCCGATTCATTGTCTTGGGAAGAGACTAGTTTAAATGAAGCTAATGAATCCGAGTTGCCAGTAAACGCAATATCTCAACCACTATATCATTTAACAAAAAATAACTGTGGAAACGTTACTAATGACAATGTTCTTGTATTCCACGCTCGAATCTGCCTTATCTATCAAACCATTTAAAAATCCGCACTCATTAACATAGGCAGGCGGTTTAGGCAATGAGAACCTGAGGTAGCAGTTCAGACAGAGTGACATCGTTTGATTTTCTTGAAGCTGAGAGAAACTGTCGGATATGCCAATAGCACGATCGTGATGCTCGGCAGTGCACGAGCCTGCTGTCGGTGACATAGTCGTTGGGGGGATGGCAAACACGAAATCAACGTGAGGTGAACAATGTCGAATTGCTTGAATGTAGAGGTGTTACTTCCGAGTAATACTCGTGGAAGGCACTCACCCCAATGCTGGAACGGTGCAGGTCTCCAGCAGTTGCCCCACTACCCTCCAGTGCCAAAGACACGGGGCAGTGGACGAAGCTTACTGGACCAGAACAAGGCTTTGGTGGTCTCATATTGTTGGCAGTGTTCAAGAAAAGGCTTCTTTCAGCAGGTGGGACTTGATCCTGGAACCATGTTTAAACGCATATTTCTGTTGCGTTGGCCTAGTTTCTGTTACGATTTTGGGTCATTAGAAGTTTACATAATGACCCAATGTCCAGATTTCTATTTTCGTGTGTATTGCAGTCCTAGTGATGTGTCATCACTAGGACATTGTGTGTACTATCACTGATTTCCCCATTAATCGGACGCCGGTAACCGTTGGGAGTATAGAGCCATCGTTAGCGTCTGGAAGGCGTGGTGTGTTGAACGGCTAAGTTCTTGATGACAACACGAAGACAGAAATTAATGAGCCAACCGACAACTCACAAAAGTTTACTCGTCAAACAATATCTCCTCGCTAAATTATTAATTGCCTCGCGTTACCGGTAGACTGAATAATGTTTTTTTTTTCAAAACAAGTCAACGATTTGGTATACTAAGCAGGTTTCTGGGGGCAGAAGTAAGTGCATGTAATATTGCCAACTAAAGCATAATATTTGAGTTCAGGCGTGCTGGTTTGCTTCCGTTAGTATTGAACTTTCCCTACATACTTTATGCATGAAACTAACGTTCCATAATTCAACCCCTACCAAGTGTCCACAAACGACAGCCAAATCGGTGTAGGCTGACATCCGGAATTGTTCATTTTCTTGCATGGTCTGTGTGTAAGATCGCACAGCCTCTGTCCTCCCTGGCAGTTAATGACAATGCAAAATTGCGGTCATGGTCTTTAATAGTAATGGTGGGAGTGAGGATTCGGTTCCAGCTCTTTTGACAAATATTGTGTTGCAACAAAAATGAATCGGATTTATGAGGGCGAGTATTTTTAAGAATGCACCAGATAGACTTCACCTGTGGTCAACAGATGGATAGGAACGAGGTTGTCTGTTCTGTAGGGACACAGGTCACATGGTCTTCTTACCAACCCGAATCTGCACATCTTGAACGCATTGTGGGTGGTTGCCTGAAGAAAGAATATTAACTTCACAACCAAATGCTAAGTGCAATTTGTAGTCCCTCATATGTAAAAAAAATATTTGTTTCTGAACTGCGGCGTTTCTAAGGAGAGTTGAATTCACTTGAGTGAGCCCTGAATGTGACTTTGTAGGCGAATGTAGGATGTCGAGATGCAGTGATGCCGTTAGATATCACTGGGCTTGTTGATTAGCTTTCCGATCACGTAAAGTAGATGCGAACGATCGGTGCACTCGAGTGCGTCTGGGTTCTGCTCCTGATGCTGGGCCCTGATAATTTAATTGAGGCAAGACTTTTGAATTCATGTTGGATGCCACGAAATTTGTCCATTGAAGAGTTTCATTGGTTTTTACTGCATAATGTTCTCCTTGCAGGGCTCATAAAACACCGCATGTGGATACGTAAACTGATTAGACTAGAAGTGTAGCATTGAGCTCCACCGACACAATAGTCAGGTGTGTTTGGGTATATATTGGCTTTGCCTCTTGATGCCGCAGTCGCATTCCTTCCAAAGCTTAGTAAGTATCCCTTCGATAACACATCCATTTAGATCTCAGGGCAAATGTCGACGGTCTAAAAAGCAAACCCTTATTTCAAATTAGAATTAAATGAAAAGCCGTCACATATTTCGAAAAGCGTGTACTTACAAATGCGATATTTTCGTTTTGATCGGTGGCAAAAAAAAAATGCAGTGCAAGCAAACTGCACAACCTCCTTCTCTTTATTTGTTGTAGTATAATTGGTTGGGTTTAAGAACATCTAAAAAATAGGCTCACGATGGAAACAAAGAAGAATACTTGGTGACCGGTGATTAGGAAAGCTGCAAATGCAATTATGCTGACAGTCACATCAACTGGCTCCGTTTCGAGGAACAACATTTCTCATTGTACTAGACGATTTCACTTTCGTTTTGTTTGTTAGTTCAGTACCAATGAAGGTAGCGAGGGGTTACGACGCATCAAATCCAGTCGAGCTAAATCGCAAAAAGTAAACAGATTCAGATTAGGAGGCTAAGGCTGTAAAAAACGAACGATTACACAAGACAAAAAAAATCTTACAGATTCCATACAGATATGCTTTAAAATGTTTTTGATTCCACTTTCGATGAAGCAAATCACATCGAATTTCTAGTTCCGTGTGTATTGCAGTCAAATTCCGCGATTCTATCTGTGACTACTAAACAAGAACCAGCATGTTTGAACTCATCGTTACACTTTAAGGCAAAAATGTTAAGTATTGTGGTGTGGAAACTAGGTCATTAACCATTCGTTATATTGCCTGACACATGAAAATAGTGTCACGATTTGGTACGCATGAGAATACGCATCGCAAGAATAATTACGAGCATTAACAACAACAGTATTCACAATCCTACAAGACGATAACTGTGCATTAAGTAGGTCAGTATCATTAAAATTAGCAACTGATTCTGGAGAAACTTCCCACAGACTCTTGTGTTAATTCGGTGCTGAATATGTGGCTCGTTGCAAGCATATCTCGAATTAGACATATATCCGAAATTATATAATGCCCGATGTCCTCTAATAAAACTGTTGCAGTTAATATTACACTAGCAAGTACCTGTTGTACATTATATTAGTAGAATTCTGCATTGATCTGCTCATTGGGTCTGTATAATTATGCTTGACAGTTGGCTCCAATGCGTTAATATTCATGCTTGTGATTTGTTCGCCTCTCTAAAATGCCTTACTTGTTCGTTCGAAGCTAAAACGTCAGCAACAATTTACAATGCACCGAGCACCAACTGAAACGATAACAGCAGATATAACCTTGAGCATTAAATATTGGCGGCGTAACAGGGCGGCTACTGAAGTAATAAAACACAAACCAGTATTCAATCCACCTTCACTTTTTGCATGAAACATTTCCTAAAAAAAGGCAACGGTTAGAAAATGTATTTATATGCATTCTAGATAAAATAGGGGAATCAGTAAATCAAATTCTGTCATCGGCAGGATCAAATCATGATTAATTGATCAAATACAGCAAAAGAGATGAAAACGTTATTTAGCATAAACCCCACAATCCATGCACTAATTCTGTCATGCATTAGGTGGAAGCATAATTTGAATTCAAATTTGTGCATTAACAATTGTCGAAGCAATTCTTCGGAATGCAGTGTCTACTCCATGCACATAGAATATTAATTGGATTTGACCCTAGCATTAGCAGACCAAAGTTTATACGCGAGATACTTTTTTATTTATGTTGGCATTACAGTGCCAAATTTAACAATGTGTTTACCTAACCAAAATGTTCTCGAAATCACCCAATGTTGCTAGTTGATTTTGGAAAAGAACATAAAATTGTCGCCGAAATTCCTTATGCACGTGCGCATTAAAATTGCTGCCGTTAAGTTGACTGTTTGATGAAGCATATAATTGACCAATTTTTAACCGTCATTCGTCGTTGTTAACATGGAACTCTAAACATGGCCTGCTAAATTTTGCATTATTTTACATACAGTGTAATAATAACCAACTGCTGCACAAACCACCAATTCCCTAGCTAAGATCAACACAAACAAAACATTCGCAAAACAACAGCAGACAAATTCGTTATAACTTAACTAAAGCTGAGTGAATAAAGAACGTGTATGCAAATTTATTGACGGACAGCAAACAAATGTGCTAGACTAGCGAAAACGACTAACATATGAAAAGACATAGGAGCAAATTTGATTTCTTCGGTTTCAAAAAAGGCATTAATTATCTTTCAGCTATAGACACGGAGTTAATTACTTCCAGCTGTGTGTGCATCCCACCAAGACACAAATTTTCTTGTTCTTTTAGCTTCTCTTTCGCAAGTTTACACATCATGTGCTTTATCAACTAAGTCCTTCAAAATTCGCTTAACTTATCCGAACCAATGTGCTGCAGCAAAGAATTTAAACACGTGTGTCAAAAGGATGGACAGCGTCCGTGATCAAAAACAGTGTCCGCAATGCCTCAAAACTGTTAATATGAAATAAAAGTGAATTTCATTCAGAGGATTAAATGACTTTTTACCAACACGACCGCCCCCTGGGGGCTTAACAAAGTTTCTACTAACTGAACTAAGATCCGTGAAACTCGACAAGTGGGTCCTTGTAGGGTGGAAGCAGGACCAAGAAAAAGCAAAAGGTCCCACGACTTAATTCTCCTGCAACTGGTTGTTGCACAAATTCGGTTATGCTTCGTTGCTTTGTGCCAATGCGTCATGTTCCATTGTATGACAGATAAGCACGCCTAGGCGAGAGTTGAGACACAGACTGCAAGCATGTGAAAAGCAGCCTGGTTCTTCTGAGTCTGACGCCGAATTGATAACAGAAGATTCCTGCTCTTCACACGAGAGAAGAATACGTATTTACCACTAAGGTCGCCTAGCTGTTGGGAGACAAATCGCGTTCGGAGAAGGCAGCTGGTATAGGAAATGGACAAATTTAGGATTATCAAACAGCAACATTTGTGGGCACATCAAAGCATGCCACTTGAAATATTCAAAGACTGTAAACCTGCTCATTGGCAGATCATTCACATTCAAAGAACCCAAACACCTTGCTCACGAACTATACTCTATCCACATTGATGACGGCTATGCCTGTGGAAAATGTGGAGATACAGTGTTGCAGGTAGCAGTATCTGAGAGGCCAGTGCACGTGCAACGAAGACAGTCAATAGGTACACGGCTCCAAAACGTATTAGGATGTCACTCGGAACACCCCTTATATCCAGTGTTCATTGAAGCAGTGCAATACAGTTCAGTGTGTCTGTCTAGGCAACGCATATTAACGATGTGCAAATGCGTCAACTCTACCAGGCTACAGCACGCAACCATCTATCGCGACCAGTAGTCACTTTAGACCATTATTATCAACAACAATTTGCCTGCCTACACATTTCAAGCGTGTCCGCGGGTGCCGTTCTTCGTAAACATTCCAAACTCACTATGCATCGCCAAATAAAATTATACACAATTGAAGATTATATGCCGCGAC